GTACTACAGTGAACATGCCAAGGAATAACCGCTTTCCACAAACATTTGAGCTGTGTGCTGTAATAGAGCTGTTGCGTACAGAAAGATCCGGGCATAGTCAGAGTCAGTGTTTCGTAAAATCCATGCGAGAAAGTATTCAACGAATCAATGGGTCCCCAAAACAGTCCTAGGCTTCGTTGTGCTTATCACACAGAAACGAATTCTTTGCTGCGATGGCAACCTAAACGAGAGTGGCCAGAGTGTGTTTTCCTGGCTTACAGAAACGAGCCTGACAATTTCCTGAACAAGCCGTATCTAGAGCGGATGGAGTGTAGACATGAGGTGCAGGGATACTGGCGTGAAATAAATAGATACCTTTTGACATGCGAGTCATTATTACGGAACTTGTCATCTGACGCGCTGCAAGACGCACATTCTGCAAAACTGACTTCATCCCTAGAACAGCCTGTCACGACTTGCTGCACAGTGATGGCAACGACTATTTGTCTGTAGCTGCCGCATTTGCCATATCCCAGAGTCACAGTTCCCCAAGTCTCAGATGAGGACGAAGACAACAGGCGTCACCCGTTATCGATGATCATCGCGCGATTGGCTAATCTGTTCTTCACACGCGGTGAATGTCTCTTATTAGGCGATGCGACACAACGACGGCAGCAGCATGCCTCTCTCCTCTCCCGCCCAAACTTCCCATAAGGGCGGGTCCGAAGTGAAGTCGACATCCGTTGTCATCCGATGTCGGTAAATCCTGACGGTTGGAACTCTCGATCCGAGGGTTTACATTTACCGACATCCATCGACATCCATTCGACGCTTCACTTCGGACACGCTCTAAATCTACTGTACAGTTTTTCGCTGTTCGGTTCGGTTCGGTTCGCTTCTGCATGTCGATGCCGCAGCCACCGCAGCAGCAGGCAATCAGTTCACCGCAGGCCCCGTTTCAAGGTTTCATGCGGTGGTTGTCGTGGTGACGAGACGATGTGATTTGACCTGACACTCATCCACACGTGTACAGAACACTACTTGTTTCATCTGAGAGGGGCAGGACAGACACGTTTTACCTCACCACCGTTTCCAACCAGTTCTTTTGCCATTCCGAAGCTCCATAAAGATTTTGACTGCGCCAATCATATGGAAGGTGGTGTTCAGTCAATTGTGACTACACTGGTGTCTGCCTCGCATCCTCCACCACCACCTCGTCAAGCACAACACACTTTATCTAGGACTTATTTTTCTCCGTTTAGCGAGTTAATCAGTCTATTGAGGCTTCCGGGACTTGATCCACAGGCTCGTGTTAGCTCGTCGTTGGACCTAGTCTGCCTCACAAATGCTCTGAGCTTTTCGCTGCGCGTTCTTGCGGGTGGAACGACGCTGTGGAAGAACGGACCGACGACATTGTCTTGTCACTCCAGCTGTTGCGATGGTAAGATAATTCAGTCAATCCTTTCTCTCTTCATATAGACATTTTCTCTCTTCAGTTGCTATCCTAGAAAAACCGCAATGGTAAGTCCTTTCTCACCACCTTCCAACAACTACTAATACCTTTTTCCCCCTTTCCCCCCCCTTTCCCCCCCCCCCCCCCCCCCCACCCCCCAATTTTTTTTGTGCGCAGGCGTTCTGTCTCAACGAACCTCCTCTGGCTTGGGAAATTCCGGCACGTCAGAACGACACGAACGAATCTCACGGATTGACCTCCGGAAATTGCGGCGCGAACCTCGGGCTATCTCTCGGCCTAAGCTCCGGCAATGGTGACAGGAATTTCCTCGCCGCAACTCCCAGCGCGAAACCCGCGGCTGTCGCCGAACCAGCAAAAACCGAAGAAACGCACTCCGCCGCTTATCACTTGCCAACTCCTTTCAGCGGTCACAGTGACAGGAGCCATGGCGAGTCGCAGGCTGTTCCCGATCCTGCGCCACTCACGCCGGCATCTCCGCCGTCGCCTCAGCAGAGTATACCCGGAGCGCCGACCGCCTTAACTGCCACCATGAGCCTCCAGTCGTGTCCGACGCAGGCGCAGGCGCAGGCGCAGACGGGGCAACTTGCGCAGGCTCAGGCTCAGGTTCAGGCTTTAAACGAGGAGCAGAAGCGGCAGCTGCTGCGGCTGCTGCAGCAGCACCACCAGAAGCTCGTGCAGGTGCAGCAGCACAAGCAGCAACTTCAGAACCAACTCTCCGCGCCGCTCTTAACCGCACCCAACCAAAACAGCCAACATGGCGAGCTCGAGGCTCACCCTCGCGTCGACCAAAACGAGGCTTGTCGCGAAAGTGACCTGATGACGTCAGCAGCAGCAAGATCGGCTTCGGTAGTGCCAGCAGCGGCATTTGCGGCCCCTCTTCAATCTCCAAGCCAAAATTACCAGAACGTATCAAATCGTATCGATGGGTCAACCAGGGTTGACGCCGTCTCGCTACTAGCTCGTCTCTGGAGCGCCCCGCCCGCAGCGAATTCCGCAAATTTCGCGACTCCCGCAGCTGCTGGTAACGCCCCTTCGCCGCTAACAGCAGCTCTCCTCCGCAGATCTATTTTAGCCCCCGCCGCTGACTTCGCGACCGCCGCGGAAGCCGCCCCTTCCGCCACGCCCTCGCGTTCCTTTCCGCGCGACTTCAGCGCGCCGAGTCCCGCCGCGCGGGAAGCTAGCGGCGCTAGTAGCGCCGTAGCCGCTATGGCGCAGAATTGCTCCGCGGGGATGGCGAGGAAATTGGCGGAGCTTCTAAGCGCGAGGGCGGAGGGTAGCATCTGCGCGGATGCTGCTGGGATGGCTGCTGCTTCCCCTGCTAAGGAAACTTTTCCGCCACGTGGACTTGATCTGCGCTCATTGGTTGGGACATACATGAGCCACGTGCATGCTGACGTGGACCTCGAACGTCACCCTGACGTGGAGGCGGCAGAAGGCATGGGGGAGGTGGGAGAGGGCGGCGGAGACGAGACGATGGGCGGCGGGGAAGGGGACGATGGAGGAGCATCGGAGGGCGGCAGTGGGGGCGGCAACAGCAACGGCAACGGCGACGGCGACGGCGACGGGGGTGACGGCAACAAGAGGAAAATGCGGCTGTCGCAGGATCAAATCTCCATGCTAGAGCAAGTCTTTCAAAAGCACCCGAAGCTGGTGGCTCGGCAGAAAGCGAGCCTGGCGGAGAGGCTCGGCGTGCGGGTGCGGCAGGTGGAGGTGTGGTTTCAGAACCGGCGGGCGCGCACCAAGGTGAAGCAGACAGAGGCAGAGCTTGAGGGGCTGAGGAGGCGATGCCAGCTGCTGGCGGAGGAGAATAAACGGCTCAAGCTGCAGCTGGCTGCGAGGGAGAGGGGGGAGAGGAGGGAGAGGTCGGAGAAGGGGGAAAGGGAGATGGAAAAAGGGGGGAAGAGGGGAAGCGGGGAAGGAGATGATGGGGGTGCAATGAAGAGGGTGAAGGTCGAGGGTGCGATTGAGTGGGAGGTGTGTGGTTCGTGTAAGAGGAATGAGAAGCAAGGAGGGGAACAAGGGGCGAAGCAAGGGGAGGAGATGGCGGTGCAACAAGCAGTTGCGTCCAATGAGGATGATTCTTCCGCCGAGCGACAGATGAGGATGTTTTTGTGACCCTGGTTAGTTGTTAGATCGCGTGTGTAGATTGGAATGTACATAGGTGGCTGCATGTTAATGTTTTCTGTATTCAATGAAACACAGAAATTGCACAGCCAAGAGTCAAACACTGGAGAACTCTGAAGTAGTAGGAATAAGCTGATCCTAGACAACAGCTGTCTGTCCCAGCTGGCCTACCTAAGCAGCTGAATCACCGCAGCACAAGTAGTCTTTCCGCCAATTCAACCGCCGCACTCGTCGCTGCATTCACCGCGTTATCCAGCTACCTCCACCACGGATTCACGCAGGGCCCACCCGCCCAAGGCCACGTAGTGCTGGGACCACACCAGAGCGCTGTTATCAGCAACGGCTGCTCTCTGCTCTGGTCTGAAGCTCGCACGCGTAAAATGAGATGCGTTTTGAGGCGCCTAATAACCCACCCACTGCTCCGTAGAGCAGGGAACCGGATCCGGGTGATATGTTCTGGTCTGAAGCGCGCACGCGGCTACTAGCCATGCTTGCCCCGCCGCACTCCCCGCTGCTACTAGCGCGTACGCTGCCTGCTGCTATCGCCTGTCGTACGTTGCTGTCGTCGCCTGTCGTACGCCGCTATCGTCCCTGTCGTACGTTGCTATCGTCGAATGTCGTACGCTACAACCGTAGCCTGTCGCACGCTGCTACCGTCGCCTCTCATACGCTGCGACGTTCTGGGGTTCGCACGCGGGTTCCCACAGCACGGCTTGGACAAGCGCACACCCCGCTGCCGCAGCGCCACCCACCAAACTCCACCGCATCAGCCGCGGCCGCGTGACACGCGGCCCGTAGTGCATCGCGCAGAAAGGAAGCGCGGCGAACGCGCCGTACACGGCGGCTATACGCGTTACTAGCCGGATGTGCTCGGAGCACGTGAGCGCGTCCTCCCGCATGAGGTCGCCCGCAGAGGCACCTAAAGGCTGACGGAGCGCCATCAGCGCCGACGTAACTAGTACGATCTTTGCGAGCTTTTGCGACGAACAAAATGACAGGCAATCTGAACTGGCAACTAGCGGGAAATGATGCAAGCGGCAAACCCGAAGCAGGCTCATCTAAAAACCTGATTGGAACTAGAACAAACCTGCACAAGGTGATTTCAGCGCCGGCAATATCGCGTACATCTAAAAAGGGTACACTGTTAGTGATTAAGAAGAGAAGAAGCCAAGGAAGAAAAATTCGGGAGGAACAAAATGTCAGTGGCCCCAAATTCCCTCAGTTATCCCCACTTCCCCTTCCCTCCTTCCCTTCCCCCCTTCCAATCCAACCCCCCTACAGAATCAAAGGTCACCCATTATAATCACAGAGTGCACCACCATTAGAAAGACGAGTACCAAATCTGACCACAATCTTATTCCACATATCCCCAACTCCAATCCAACCAACTAAATTTCCACATTACACCTCAACCGTTGCACCTTCAGCGGCGATCATAGTAAGAGCCTCCATCCGTCCAATCATCTTGCGCCGTATACTCCGATTGAACATCAGACATCCCATCCCCCCTCACCCCACCTCCCTGATACCCCCCATGCCCCTGCCCTGGATACTCAGACCCTACCTCACTCTCAGCATAGCCCCCCTCTCCAGCATACCCACTATGCACACTCCTCGGACCATACTCCGTCGCTCCATCATCCACCACTGTATCCCCATCCCCATGGTGCCCCATCTCATCCCCATCCTCATTATAGTACGTCCCAGTACCATCGTCGTCATGCACCGCGTTCGGATCGTACACCTCATCCTCCTCCCCGTCCGGCCCAATATAATTCCCTTCTTCGTCGTAAAAAGCATCTTCGTCCCCCTCCCCTTGCAGCGGCTGTTGCATGTCTGCCATTTGGAATTCCAGAAACGCCTCGTCTTTCCTCTTGCCCTCGCGGTATCCTCTAATGAGGCAGAAGCAGCAGATCGCGACAACAAACAGGAGAAGCCCGAGAACAATGCCGCCCACTTTCAGCCAATAGGATGTGTTCTGAACTGTGGTTGTGCTGCTACTGCTGCTGCTGCTGCTGCTGCTACTGCTGCTGCTGCTGGGAGTGCTGCTGCTGCTGGGGGTGCCACCACTGCTGCTACTGCTGCTGTTGCCAGCTGTGGTGGGAGGCATGGATCCCGAGCCTGCTCCTCCCGAACCTCCACCTCCGGCTGGGGGAAGCGGGGTGGTATTCGCATCATACATGGTCAGAACAGTCAGGTCTGACGCAGGATCCACACGGGGATCGGGGCCGGGCGGGATATTTTGTCTGCAAGTGAAGTTGCAGTCGGACGGCTGGGTAAGTCGGAAAACACCCAGATGGGTCAGGATGTAAAGTGTACCATTCACGTCCTGCCCCCAGGCGAAAACCGCGCCGAAATTCGGGCGGTACGGGCCTTGCATCGGGCATTGGATGGGTGAATTGGGCGCGCAAGAGACGTTGAGCGGTTGCGAACCGAGGGGGAAATGGCCGCTATAAGGGGGATTCTCTGTAGCCACGTAGAATTGGTTGTTCCTGTCACTGAATAGGTACCTGGTAGGGTCCAACGGGAGAGAATACAGGGTGAAGAAAGGTGGGTAACGGACTGAGGATTGAGTACTGAGTGTTGAGTGAAGGAATGAGCCTTGAGAGGAGAAAATCAGTATGCACAGAGATTTGTAGATGTTTGGGAGGATTGATGTTGGCTTGGAATGGAACAGAGAAAGAGAATCCTGCTCAAGACTAAGGTTTCATATATCACCCCCAGGCAAGTACACACACAACATCACCACCATCGCACCTTCCATATAAGCACGCGTCCTCGAATCCTCTTGCATAGAACCCCCCAACCACGCTGCTGGTGTTGCTCCACACGTATTGAAACGACGGCAGCTTCTGGTTCGGCACGGGCCGCTGCTCGCTAGCATTGGCAAACTCCCGACCCTCGTACCACTTCCACCCGTAGTTACCGCCGCTGGTTACCACATCTACCTCCTCCCACTTGGTCTGTTGGTGAAGGAAGGGAGGGGAGGAAGGGGGGGCAGCCGACAAAGGATGTGAGAGACGGGGAGGGGGTTTGAGATGGGCCGGTGGTGGTCAGGTACGGGCCGATGCTAACTAGTGTTGGCGTACTCCCAACCCTCATATCACTTCCGTCCAAAGCTACTGCTTTTGAGTCGCTTTTGAGTCGACTCAAAAGTTCCCTCATATCACATCCATCCAAAGCTGCTGTTGCTGGTTACGACGTCTAGCTCCTCCCACTAGGTCAGTTGGCTACTGTTTCATGGAGAAGGAAGGGTAGTAGAGTGCCATGAAAGAGGACAAAGGACGGAATGGCATGGCTTCGCATGGCATGGAGATCCGTCAGCCACCCTATGAGCTGCACTCACTCACCCATCCCACATGCCCGCACATCATGACGGACGGTCTGAGCAGGTCGAACATTCCCTTCCATGGGTCGTGGAAGCCCAGCGCAAACACCTCCCCTCGCCAGTCCCCACATTCCCCTCCCAATTCCTCCCGAACAGAACCGTTTCCCCACATCCCAGCAACCCTCAAGAAGCACTCACCCATCCCACGTCTCCACACATCATAACGGAGGGCCTGAGCAGGTCGAAGGTGCACTTCCATGGGACGTGGAAGCCCAGCGCAAACACCTCCCATCGCCAGTCCCTTGCTTGCTCCCATTACACCCCCACCCTTCCCCCCCCCAACTTCCCCTCCTCCCCTTTCCCTTTCCCATCCCACCCTCAAGAAGCACTCACCCATCCCACGTCTCCACACATCATAACGGAGGGTCTGAGCAGGTCGAAGGTGCACTTCCATGGGTCGTGGAAGCCCAGCGCAAACACCTCCCATCGCCAGTCCCTTGCTTGCTCCCATTACACCCCCACCCTTCCCCCCCCCAACTTCCCCTCCTCCCCTTTCCCTTTCCCATCCCACCCTCAAGAAGCACTCACCCATCCCACGTCTCCACACATCATAACGGAGGGCCTGAGCAGGTCGAAGGTGCACTTCCATGGGTCGTGGAAGCCCAGCGCAAACACCTCCCATCGCCAGTCCCTTGCTTGCTCCATTACACCCCCACCCTTCCCCCCCCCAACTTCCCCTCCTCCCCTTTCCCTTTCCCATCCCACCCTCAAGAAGCACTCACCCATCCCACGTCTCCACACATCATAACGGAGGGCCTGAGCAGGTCGAAGGTGCACTTCCATGGGTCGTGGAAGCCCAGCGCAAACACCTCCCATCGCCAGTCCCTTGCTTGCTCCCATTACACCCCCACCCTTCCCCCCCCCAACTTCCCCTCCTCCCCTTTCCCTTTCCCATCCCACCCTCAAGAAGCACTCACCCATCCCACGTCTCCACACATCATAACGGAGGGCCTGAGCAGGTCGAAGGTGCACTTCCAGGGGTCGTGGAAGCCCAGCGCAAACACCTCCCCGCGCCAGTCCCAGTCGAGGGCGTGCGGGTTGTCCGGGGGAATGCCGTACGCCCCCAGCAGGCCCCTGCTCCTAATCTCATCCTCGCCTGCGAGGGGAGGAAGGGGAGGCGGAAAGCAATGAGCGGACGAGTCAACTCAGTGGCAGGCGGGTTGCCCGTAGGAAAGCCATATGCCCCCAGCAGGCCCCTGCTCTTTATCTCATCCTCGCCTGTCAAGGGGGGTGGGTGGGTACGGGGAGGTTAGGGAGGAACGAAAGGGGGGGAACAGAGGAGAGAGAAGAGAAACGCCTTGGAGTTCTGTGGCAAGCCCAGGGGATCGAGGTCCCATGGCGAGGGGTGACCACATCACCCCACCACATGACACCACACCACACCACACTGCACTGTGCTAGTCTCACACCAGCCCACAAGCCCACCCGCCCACCTGGCTGGCTGATCCCATTCAGGACGTCCAGCCGCAGCACCTTCCTGTGGAACGCCTTGGGGTTCCCCAGGCGCTTTAGGGTCCAGCCGCCGCACCTTCCCGTGGAACGCCTTGGGGTTCTGCGCCAGGCCCAGGGGGTCCCCCAGCATGACATAGAGCATGCCATCCGCGCCTTATGGCGAGGGGAAAACAACACCGCACAGCACCACACCGCATCGCACCACACCACACCACACCTCATCCGAAGTCCCTCAAGACACCCACCTGGCTGGCTGATCCCATTGAGCACGTCCAGCCGCAGCACCTTCCCGTGGAACTCCTTGGGGTTCTGCGCCAGGCCCAGGGGGTCCAGCTCTCCCCCTCCGTCCCCCAGCATGACGTAGAGCATGCCATCCGCGCCCCATGGGCGAGGGGGAAACAACACCACACTGCACCGCATCACACCACACCACATATAAAGTCACCCACCTGGTTGGCTGATCCCATTAAGCACGTCCAGCCTCAACACCTTCCCGTGAAACGCCTTGGGGTTCTGTGCCAGGCCCAGGGGGTCCAGCTCGCCCCCCCCATCCCCCAGCATGACGTAGAGCATGCCATCCGCGCCAAATCGGATCTGGCCGCCGTTGTTGTTGATGAAAGGCTGCCCCAGCCGCACTATGTAGCGCACTATCGTGGCAGAGATGCTCGCTTGCTGGTGGGTGGGGTGGGGGAGGGGGTGGATGGGTTGTGGCAGGAAGGGCAGCAGATGTTGTTGATGAAAGGCTGCCCCAGCCGCACTATGTAGCGCACTATCGTGGCGGAGATGCTCGCTTTCTGAGGGGGGGGAAGCGGGGGCAGTAGTGGTGGGAGAAGCAGCCAGGGGGAGGCAGCAGGGAGCAGGGAGGGGGAAGGGTAAGAGATGGCTTTTGAGTCGACTCTGACTAAGGGCTGCCCCAGCCGCACTGTGTACCGCACTAACCCCGCGTCTATGCTCGCTCGCTGGTGGGTGGGGAAGTGGAGGGAAGGGGGGAGGGAAGGGGATGGGGGGACGGGGAGGGGAGCGGGGGAGGAGATGTGGCGTGGAGAGCACGTCAATACAAGCAGAACGTAAGGCACCACTGCCACGCCCTTGCACCATTCCCCTATCCACGCTGCCTGTCTGCATACCTGGGAGATCTTAGCAGGCGTGCAGATGGTGTCACTGCACGCAGAGAACTCTGCCACCACAGTCACGTTTCTGCACAGGTCCCCGGTGCCCCAGCGGCCGTCCGGATTGGCCGCCTTAACCTTGTCGGCCGTGCAGTCCACAGCATCGTAGCAGCCGCACACAGCAGCCTTGCAGTCAGAGTTGACTGAGGAGTCGCAAGTGAAGGACACGAAGAGACGGCCGTTGCTGGGGTAGTCCGGGTGAAAGGCAATACCAACTGCCCCCTGCTCCCCCCCCTGTGCCACCCTGTATGCATGAGTCGGAAAGGGGGGATGGCCGGGAGGGAAGGCATGGGCGTTGAGGGAAAGCAGTGAGCTTGCAGCCGCAGACAGCGGGCTTGCAGTCAGAGTTGATTGACAAGTCGCAGGAGAAGGAGACGAAGAGATGGCCGTTGCTGGTGTAGTCGGGGTGAAAGGCGATCCCCCCTGCCCCCTGCTCCGCCACCCTGTGCCACCCTGTGCAATACAAATCGTAGGAGATACCGTAACAAAGGTACAGAATGCTGAACTCCCTTCCCAGTGCACCCTCCCACCCCAATGCGCCCTTCCACTCCCACACCCCCTCCCCCATCACAACCTAGCCTTTGTCATCCCTCCCCAGTCTCCTCCCTTTCAGGCCCCTCCATCGCAGTCCAACTCCCTCCTGTCCCTCTCCTCCCAATCCCCTCCCTCCCCCACTGTTCACTCACAAGCCACTGATGTCGAGAAACGGTGAGTCCCCATCCAAAGGAAGCTGGTCCGACGACCCCGGCTCGGGCAGATTGTAAAGAAACAACCTGCCCGCCCGCTCCAGGAAAAACGCGCGCCGCGATTGGTCCGGATGCGGGGTCATGGCCACATAGTAACTATTCTCCTCGCTCTTATCATTCTTCGTACTCAACCCAATCTGCTCCACACACATGTTATTCACGGGCGGCAACACATCCTCCCCCAACTCATCCGGGTAATCCACCGGTTTACCCCGGTAGCAAACCTTCGGCCCGTCGCCGGGGTTCTTATTCGGCGGCATGAACTGGCGGCAAAACTCGCCCTTAGTTAAGTACACATCATAAAGCGAGATGAAGCGCGGGTCATTGGTTGCAACGAAAGGGTTGTAAGGCATGCCAACCATGCCGCAGACGTCCCAGACAGTGGAGCAGAAGGGCTGCGTCTCAACAGGGTCGCGGTTGGACTGGGCCGTGCAGAGGTACGGCACGTCGGCGTAGCGGCCTGTGTGGTCGCGACGGTACACCTGCGACGCGTAGGGGTCGCACTCCTGGTGGGGGTTGAATAGGATCATGGGAGGGTTGAATAAGGGAGGAAAGTAAGACGGAGGTTGCACTTGGCTGTGCGGAGCTAGGGTAGGGGATCTTGGCATAGCGGCCCGTGTGGTCACGGCATTGAATATGCGAGGCGTAGGGGTTGCACTACTGTTGGGTGTGGGAGGGTGGAAAAAGGGACAGGGGCAAGAAGGGAGAGGGGGAAGAGGGAGGTTTGAAAGAGAGGACTGTCGGCGTAGCGCCCGGTGTGGTCGCGACGGTACACCTGCGAGGGGTAGGGGTCGCACTCCTGGTGGGGGGATGGGTGGGATCATGGGAGGATTGAAGGGAGGGTTGAAGGGAGGGTTGAAGAAGGGCCAAGGGGATGTAAAGTGAGGTGTGAAACGCAAACACAGCACTCACAGTACTCACACATGCTCACGCATGCACGCACGCACACACGTGCCCTCGCACGCGCGCGCGCACACACACAAACACAAATACACGCAGACAAAACACCCGAAAACACACACGCACGCCATTCACAGCACTCACAGCGTCATTTACAACACAGAGAAACCAAAACTTAAAGCCGACCTGGCACGCACAGCGCACAGCGCTACTTGCACTTCCCACACACAGCAGCACTCACAGGTGAACCTTGACATTTTCCAGTGCCCACACGCAGCACGCACAACGCACAGCACTGCTTGCAGTCCACAAACAGCAGCACTCACAGGCGAACCTAAACCTTCCCATGTCTTTGTCTGTCTGTCCGTACACACCCGGACCTTTCCAGTGCACACACGCAGCACGCACGGCGCACAGCGCTGCTTGCATTCAACACACAGCAGCGCTCACAAGTGAACCTAGTCATTTTCCAGTGCACACACGCAGCACGCACGGCGCACAGCGCTGCTTGCATTCAACACACAGCAGCGCTCACGGCACGGAAAACAGCACTCACGGCGCACAGCGCGAGTTCCAGCGCACGGAGGCAGTTCTTGGTGCCGGGGTTGTTGCCCATGGCGTTGCTGTGCGCGACCTTCACATTTCGCTCGTTCTTGCAGTACTGCTTGCATTCCACATACAGGAATACCCAGACCTTTCCAGTCCACACAAACAGTACAGCACCACACACGGGGCACTCACGGCGCACAGCACGCGTTCCAGCGCGCGGAGGCAGTTCTTGGCGCCGGGGTTGTTGCCCATGGCGGTGCTGTACTTGAGCAGATTCTCCGCGATCTTCACGTTCCGCGCGTTCGTGCAGCAGCTCTCGTTGTTGTACTGCCGGCAGATCTGCAGCTGGTCCTTGGGCGTCTGCGGTTGCGCTGCAGGGAAGGGAGCGAGCGGGGGAGCGATAACAGGGAGCGGGAAGCGAGGAGGTTGGTATTCAGGTCGACTTTTGCTCGTTCGTGCAGCAGCTCTCGTTGTTGTACTGCCGGCAGATCTGCAGCTGGTCCTTCGGCGTCTGCGGTTGCGCTGCAGGGAGGGAGCGGTGGGAGGTGATAAAAGGGAGGGGAAAGCGAGGAGGGTGGCTTTAGTGTTTGTCTCTAACGGAAATGGTTCGCGCGTTTGTGCAGCAGGTCTGGTTATTGTAATGCTGGCGGATCCGCAGTTGTCAAGTGGGGATCTTTGGTTGCGCTTGAAGGGGATGAATGCTTCAAGAATGTAACGCGAGGGACGAATGTGCGTTTGAAGGATTGTACGCTGACGAATGGCGAGTGATTGAATGCTATACGCTGACAAAATGACGTGCGACTGAAGGATTTAACGCTGACGTAACGACGTGTGATTGAAGGATAAGCAAGAAGTGGCGTGTGACTGAAAGATTAAAAGCTGACGGACTGAAAGGCGATTAGAGTGTCGGAAAGACAGCTGACGGCTGACGGACTGAAGGACGACTAGACTCGCAAGCAGATCCATTACTTACTCGAGCATTATCGCAAGGCTTCGACAAGAAAAAGAACGGAGGACGGAAGTGACGGTCGAGAATCGGTAGTTGAGAAAAAAATGCTTTGTGAAGTATGACTTCGGTCACAACTTACACGAGTCTAGGCATAGCTTCTGAGCCGATGCATGACTGTCGATCCCGACCAGCATCAGCACTATCGCCATTAGTAGCAACACGTTGAGAAGACGCCGCATTTTTGGCGTATGAACTGAAGGATACGATAAATAAATGAAGGTATCTATGTTGCAGTTACGCGGAACTCTGTAACGCGTTCAGGAGCTCGGGTAGCTTCGAATACCTAAATAGCTTTGCTCCGACTACGTCAGATTCAGCTGAGGATAGTCGTTAGCAGGACCAGACTAAGAAACGGATAAGAGACCTGAACATATGGGCTTCTGGAACAAGTACAGAGGGTGGTGCCTCTATTCTATGTTCCAGCGCAAATCAGAAATCAATGTGAGCGTCTTCGCTCTACTTCCCATGCAGAAGAGCAACATGACTAAGAGCCGTCGAGGCGGCTGAATAAGCGACACAATGTGCGCGTTGCACGGCGTCGCATCGCCAACAGCCGCCCTGCCTGAACGAACAGAATAAGTACGGAATGAGGGATGCGGCTTCCGTCAAGGTAAAATTCTCTTGAGGCTGCTCCTCACATCAATGGTTTGGCGGACGGCTATAGTAGGAGGCGGGGGGAGGGAAGGGCGTGAGGGGGGAGGATTGCGGGAAGAGAATGTATGTGGGGGAGTGGTTGCGGAAGGTAAGCGGGGCAACTTCGATGTTTTGGTTGGCTGGCCCTTCATCGTTGCGGGAGCGCTCTGCAAGCCTGCGCGCAGAGAATGATTTTGCTCCGCTAATGCCGTACATTTTCCGCTACGCGGGAGTGTGGGCTCTGAACCGCAGTCGCTGGCGGGACAGGAAGAGGAAGGCAGCTCCGCGTGAACAGTATCGAGGGACCGCTAGTGGAGCGAAAATAGGACCAGGGTGAAGGGATGGGAATCGCATCGCTGAAGTTGGCAGACGACGGCTGGCGAAATTTTGGAAGAGCGTCGCGAGTCTCGTGAAAGTCGTTGCTGTTCTGAACCTGAACCACAGGACCACGGTCCTTGGGATTGGATTTGTAAAGCTATCGCGTATGTTTCGCAAGTGGTTTCGATGTTAGTACACTACCATTGAAGAAGCTGAGGGGGCTATATGAACTGCATAAAATGCAGCAGAGAAACACCTACGGATGAATTCACATCACATATACTAACAGTTTGAAGTCTCAGCTGCAATCAAGACTGATTCACATGTAAGCCTTGGGATCCAGGGTCTTGAGGTCCACCTGGATGTCCTCCAAGCCGTCCCTGGGAATTGGGTTAAAAAAATACAGCGTAAACAGGCAAATTACATCAAGAATATGATGAACATCTTGAGGGTAATTGCATTGCGGTCCATCCCACCATTCTTAAAAACCTTCCCAGGTGATCGGCAGTAATTTAGAGTGAGAAATAAACACAATATCAGACAAAAACCCCTTCCGAACAGTGCACTTCATAAAAAAACTAGTAACAAAAAAATGTGCAACAAAATGGTGCAGACCGGAAGGCCTGCGAGCAAGCAGACTGAGAGAAGTATTCCGAGTCCCTGCTCGCAATAACCCCTTTGGTGCCTCCTTGCTCACTTCCCAGGACTGCCCAACTTTCCTGTCCATCCCAACCTCGCTCAACAGGTTTAACGCCTCAAACCCCAAGGGACCACCCACCTCTTCTGGTACGTGCCAATATTCTCCACCGCCTCGCTAGCTAAGGCAGCAATGTCAGTCTTGGCCATTTCTTTGCAGGTTGTTTTTTTCCAACAATTCTCAGGAACAGCCCAGAACCCCACCCACCTCTTCTGGTACGTGCCAATCTTCTGTGCCGCCTCGCTGGAGAAGGCAGCGATGTCGGTCTTGGCCATTTTTTTTACGCCGTTTTTGAGAATTCTCAATAAGAACCCGAGCGACAACCACCCACCTCTTCTGGTACGTGCCAATCTTCTGTGCTGCTTCGCTGGCAAAGGCAGCAATGTCAGTCTTGGCCATGCTCGTCTCCAGCTGCTGCTCCAACGGCTCCAAGTCGCCGTCCTTCAACCCCAGCCTGGGGGGGGGGAGAGAAGGGAAAGTTGGATGGCGGAAAGAGGAGGTAGAAGGGGCTAGTCAAGGGGAAGGCAGCGACGTCAGTCTTGGCCATGCTGGTCCCCAGCTGCTGCTCCAACGGCTCCAAATCGCCGTCCTTCAACCCCAGCCTGGTACCGACAGGGAGCGGCGGGGATGACAGTGCCAAACAGGGAAGAGCAGGGAGACGGGAGAGCAGGGACAGGGGAGCGCAGCGAAATTCAGATGGCAGAAAGAGGGGGTTACACAGGGCTAGTCCAGTCCAGGGGCAGGCAGCTCTATTTGTCTTGACCATGCTCATTTCCAGCTGCTTCTCCGGTGCTTTCCAGATTACTGCCTCTCAGCACCAGCTGACCATGTTTCCGGTGCTGGCCATGTGCGTGACGTGAACACACGCACAAACTCAACAAAAACACCCTCTAAGAACTCCTTATGCATGCGCACACCAGAAATCCAGTCAGGTTTCTTGTATGCAAGACGTGAACACCCTCATTTCTTGTTGAGAACGTTCACCTTCTCTTCTCCTGCAGCATCGCCAGCACTTATACTTTGTTTCCCCCAGAGGAGGTAAGAAACAGTTGCATGCCATGGCTTGAACCAAATAAACCATGACCATCATTCCAAAATATTTTGGGAAATGCTTCAGGGTGATGGCGCTGACAAGAAAAAAAACAAAAACGAACAATCAAACACACATACAAGCACACACTGTACTTGTTGACAACAGAACTCACTTCTTGTTGATGGCGTTCACCTCGTCCTGAAACATCGCCATGCCCTTCACGTCATCCATCCCCCACCAGCGCCTTCCCCAGCCTCTTCTCCCTTCTGGTTGCATGCACACTCCGAAGGGCCATTCAAACCACTCACTTCTTGTTAATAGCATTGACCTCCTCCTGAAACATCGCCATGCCCTTCACATCATCGCCCACCAGCGCCTTCCCCAGCTTCTTCTCAACGCTGTCAAGTGCTGCAAACATGAGCTTCTCCGCGCCCAGCTTGTCCTCCACTCCCAACCTGGTAAGTGTGGTGAAATGGGATGGGATGCGGTGGGATGTGGTGGGATGTGGTGGGATGGGATGGCATGGATGGGACGGGATGGGATGGGATGGGATGGGATGGGATGGGATGGGATGGGATGGGATGGGATGGGATGGGATGGGATGGGATGGGATGGGATGGGATGGGATGGGATGGGATGGGATGGGATGGGATGGGAGGGATGGGATGGGATGGGATGGGATGGGATGGCATGGCATGGATGGGACGGGATGGGATGGGATGGGATGGGATGGGATGAAATGGGATGGGATGGGATGGGATGGGATGGGATGGGATGGGATGGGATGGGATGGGATGGGATGGGATGGGATGGGATGGGATGGGATGGGATGGGATGGGATGGGATGGGATGGGATGGGATGGGATGGGATGGGATGGCATGGATGGGACGGGATGGGATGGGATGGGATGCGAAGCACACTCAATGCTGGAAATTTGCGCGGGCCCTCCTCGCTCCCCAGCTGCATGTCAACAAGCTACCCTGCTACAGCTTGCCTCGTCAAAGGTGCCTCAATACAAGGTGCTTCATTACAAGGTGCTTCGTCGAAAAGTGCCTCGTTACTAAGGAACTCACTGCCTGCGGATGATCCGGGATTCTTCCAGGAAGCTGCGCACGTCCCGCGAGTCCTCCTCTGCTGACTCGAGCAGGTTGGAGAGCTTCTCAGAGAAGGAAGGAATGCCCAGGCTGAGAAGAGGGGGGTCGGGAGGGGTAGGGAGGGGTAGGTGTTAGAATCTATATATTATAGCATGCGAACACTTGTGACTGTACACCAAGAGTGGTGTACAGTTGGGTTGGTTCAGGCTCTAGTTTTGGGTGTACTACGGGTAGACACCCTAATTGGGGTGAACCCAAATATCCTAGCTTAGACTTGGCTCCAACCTTGTTGGCCAAGTGGAGCAACCAACTTTGGTTGGTTGGCCACCATCCCACTAGGGTTGGTTGGATGGTCCTTCCTCCCACTAGCCTACTTGGTCTTGGTGTCTTATGTGCTAGGTTTGGTCTTCTTCTCCAACCTTCTCTTCCTTGTATAACTTTGTGCTCTTTTGAGCTAATGTTAACAATTCTTCCTCAACTTCCTATAGCTCATAGTTTCTTTCATGGTATTCAGAGCCTAAGGCAAACGCCCTAGATCCTAGGCCTACTCAACCAAAGTAACATTTCTCAACGTAAACCTATTACACCTCAGCTAGAAGCAGCTCGTAGTGCGCCCTCCCACCTTCTCGTCGCGAAATCCCTGCCTGAAATCGCACGGCTCCTTTTACCCGTCACGTAATCCTCTCCTCCAGTGATTTGGAACGTTTTCACCGTCGCGAAGTCCCTGCTAGCAGTCGCGCGGGTCCATTCCACCGTCGCGAAGTCACTGCCAGCAGTCGCGCGGGTCCATTCCACCGTCGCGAATCCCTGCCAGCAGTCGCGCGGGTCAATTTCACCGTCGCGAAGTCACTGCCAGCAGTCGCGCGGGTCAATTTCACCGTCGCGAAGTCCCTGCCAGCAGTCGCGCGGGTCAATTTTACCGTCGCGAAGTCCCTGCCAGCAGTCGCGCGGGTCAATTTCACCGTCGCGAAGTCCCTGCCAGCAGTCGCGTGGGTCAATTTTACCGTCGCGAAGTCCCTGCCAGCAGTCGCGCGGGTCAATTTCACCGTCGCGAAGTCACTGCCAGCAGTCGCGCGGGTCAATTTCACCGTCGCGAATCCCTGCCAGCAGTCGCGCGAGTCAATTTCACCATCGCGAATCCCTGGCAGCAGTCGCGCGGATCGTTTTAACCGTTCCGAATCCTCTGCTAGCGGCCGCATTGCTTCATTTGACCGTCGCGACACCTCTGCCAGCAGCTGCGGAGGCCCCCCCTGCCCTTCACGTCACCCCTCCTCGCAGTCGCACGGGCCCCTCCAAGCGTCACGCCACCACTGCCGCCAACCACGCGAGCCTCCTTGCCCATCGTGCTACCTCTTCCAGCACCCACCTGAGCCCTGCAGAGCAACTGCGCGGCCCTCCCCGCAACAGCAGCAGCGGCGTGACCGGACAGTAGCAGCACTTGTGCCCTGGGCAGCAGCAGTAGTGTGACTGGACAGCGGCAGCAGCAGGTCTGGACAGCAGCAGCAGCGTGACTGGACAGCAGCAGCAGCAGGTCTGAACAGCAGCAGCAGTGTGACTGGACAGCAGCAGCAGCAGGTCTGAACAGCAGCAGCAGCAGCAGGTCTGGGCAGCAGCAGCAGCGTGACTGGGCAGCAGCAGCAGCGTGACTGGACAGCAGCAGCAGCAGCAGGTCTGGGCAGCAGCAGCAGCGTGACTGGGCAGCAGCAGCAGCAGGTCTGAACAGCAGCAGCAGTGTGACTGAACAGCAGCAGCAGCAGGTCTGGACAGCAGCAGCAGTGTGACTGAACAGCAGCAGCAGCAGGTCTGGACAGCAGCAGCAGCGTGACTGGACAGCAGCAGCAGCGTGACTGGACAGCAGCAGCAGCAGGTCTGAACAGCAGCAGCAGTGTGACTGAACAGCAGCAGCAGCAGGTCTGGACAGCAGCAGCAGTGTGACTGAACAGCAGCAGCAGCAGGTCTGGACAGCAGCAGCAGCGTGACTGCACAGCAGCAGCAGCGTGACTGGACAGCAGCAGCAGCAGCAGGTCTGGGCAGCAGCAGCAGCGTGACTGGGCAGCAGCAGCAGCGTGACTGGACAGCAGCAGCAGCGTGACTGGGCAGCAGCAGCGGCAGAGCTGAACAGTGGCAGCAGCACTCATGGCGACTGACTCCGTACCTATTGATACTGGCTCCATTGTTCGCCTGGAAGTCCAGGACGGCACTACTGCACTAAATTGGCACCGATTCTCACAGAGCCTCACCGGTGTCCTCCGCTCCACCATTATTGGCGGTGTCAACCTCCACTCCGTTGTCTTTGCCGAACCGGATGGGCTTGAGCCCAAGCCACCTCCTCTCCTTAGTCTTGAACCTCCTCCTCCACCACCCCATCCTGGCGAAGCACCTCGCCCGCCCGATATCCCTCGCCTCGTTTCTGACAACACCACCAATGCCTCGCGCCTCACCACCTACGCGGAGGAGGTGGCGACACACACGCGACTGGTGGATACCCACAAGGCAGCCCTTGCTGCTCACACCACGGCTGCTGCCCTTCATGCGAAGTACACTGCTGATAAGACGTCCTACACCTCCCAGCTGACTGATTTCACTACTCGCCATGCCGCCTGGTGCATTGCCGACACTCGGGCTATTGGCCTCATCAACTCCTGCATCCCGACCTCACTCCAGAGCGAGCTTGACGCCACTTCCTCTGCAGTTCTCTGGCGCGCCCTCTGTGATTTGTATGACCGTCGGGACATGGCATCTCTTCATGCCCTCTACCGTGACTTCAACGCTATCACCCTTGACACCTGCACCGGCGCAGCTGACTATACCCGTCGCCTCAACAACACAGCTCGGCGTCTTCGGGAGCGTGGGGCCACTATTGACGACCCCCTCCTCATTTGGCGCATCCTCGAGGGACTCACCCCGGCTTATGAGATGCACCGCATCGCCTACGACATTGTTCTCTCTCCCCACGCCACGGCTGCCGAAGTCACCACATGGGTCCTTGATACTGAAGCCAAGCTTACCCGCCAGTCCCCCTCCACCCTCAACTTCACACAGGGACGCGGAGGACGTGGGGGGCGTGGTGGCAAGGGTCGTGGTGGGGGGAGTGGCGGAGGCGGTGGTGGTCGAGGTGGAGGAGCTGGCGGTGGCGTTACAGGTGGGACGCCGGGAGGTGACGGGGGTGCTGGTCGCGGTGGACGCTCTGGGGGTTTCCCTCCTTGCTCCTATGTCATTCGACAGGGCCCCAACAAGGGCCACCGCTGCAACCAAACCACCCATCCTGCTGAAACCTGCTTCAAGGCCCTCAGTGATGAGTGGTTTGCTCGGGGCAACACAGGTACCCCTCCTCGCTGGGCCACTGTTACCCCTCGCCCCACTGTTCATGACGTTCGAACACTTCCCGCCTATCAGCCACCACCTTCTCAGCTCCACCAGACTCTGGCGAGTCACCTGCCTCCCCACCTCCTGCACCAGGTACAAGTCTTTCTTCCCCCCCTTCCAGACCCGCAGCCTCAGCAGCAGCAGCAGCAGCAGCAGCAGCAGCAGCGGCGGCAACAGCAGCAGCAGCAGCAGCAGCAGATGCACCCGGGGTTCCAGGGCCTTCTGCCTATGCAGCAGCAGTACCTGGGGCCACAGCATCACCCGGGATTCCTGGGTCCCCCCCTCCTCCCTTATCCTCCTCAGCCACAGCAGCCCCTTCTCCAGCAGCAGCCATACTCTGGCTACCCCTCTGCCCCCCCCAGTGTCTCTGACACCCAAGGCAGTTTCCTTGGTCATGTTACCGCTGCACCCTCTGTCGCTTCCATGTATCCCTCTGCTATTGATGAGACGCTTTTCCAGTACTCCGTGTCACCTCCCCCTCCTTCCCCCCCCACCTTGGACTTTGTCCTTGATAGTGGGGCCACCGAAACTGCACTGAAGGATGCTGGCACCCTCACTCCCCTTCCTCTTCCCACTCAGGTTCACGGTGCCGACACCAGTTTTTCCGTCCCATGCACTCACCTCTCCACTCTACCTTGCACCGCTTTCCCATCTGGTACAGTCACAGGTCTCCACATCCCCACCCTTCGCAACAATCTCCTCTCCCACCGTGAGATACAAGGCGCTGGTATTACCGCTATTTACCCTGGTAATGCTTCTTACTGTGATCTCTACAACACTGCTTCTGGTCGCTTCCTCCTACGCATTCCCTTTTGTCCACGCACTCGCCTTTACACGCTCCGCACACCTCGTCCCTCCTTTTGTCAGGTCACCACTCGTGCTGGCACTTCCACCGGCCCCCCTCCCCCTCCCCCTCCCCCCCAGGTATCCTCCTCCCCTACGTCATCCCCCTCATCCTCCTTCCCCCCTCCTTCCCCCACTCCATCCCCCTCCTCCTCTAGTCACCTCTCCCACCCTGCTGTGCTCTTGCATCACAGATTAGGCCACCCAAACTTCGCTGCACTTCGCACTGCCATCACATCCCGCCTCCTCGACAGCCTCCCCCCCACTCTTCCTCCCCTCCCTTCCTCCCCCGCACCCCCATGCCCATCCTGCATTCATGGCAAACTCAAACAGTCTCCCCATCACAGCCATCCCACTTTCGCAGCTGCTCCCCTTGACCTTGTTCACATGGACCTGTGGGGCCCCTATCCCATCCGCTCTCGCCAGGGGCACCGGTACATGCTTGTCCTCGTCGACGACCACAGTCGGTACTCTACTGTCTTCTTCCTTCACACGAAGGATCAAGTGCCGGCTGTGGTCATTGCATGGGCTGAGCAGTGCCGCACACACTTTAAACGCCCCATCAGCTGCCTTCACTCTGATGGTGGGGGTGAGTTCCTCAATCACACCCTCGCCACTTACTGCAAAACCCGCGGCATTCAGCAGACCCACACCCTCCCCCATTCCCCTCAGCAGAACGGCATCGCTGAGAGTCGCATTCGTGAGATCACCAAGATTGCGCGCTGCCTTCTTGCTCACGCCTCCACCCCTCCTTCCCTCTGGAGCTATGCCCTCCTCCATGCTGCCCTCCTCCTTAATCTCCGCTCCCACCCTCAGCATTCCTCCTCCTCCCCCACAGAACTTTGGTCTAAGGCCAAGCCTGACGCTGCTGGCCTTCGCGTTTGGGGCTGCAAGGCGTTCGTCCTCATCCCTCCAGCCGATCGCTCCCGCACTGCTGGCAAGCTCGCCCCTCGCGCTCTGGAGTGCGTCTACCTTGGGCACAATCGCGATTCCCCAGGCTACCTATTCCTCCACCCTCCCACCAATCGCCTCATCCGCAGCATCGACGTCGTCTTCGACGAGTCCACTCCCTACTACTCCGCTCCTCCTCCTGACCCTCTCCCTCCTCCCACTCGCCCCCTCGCTTGGACCGACACCGTCCTCCCGCCTCTTCTCCCTCCAGCGCCTCTCCTCCCCCCTGTCGCCGCCCCGCTCCCGCCTTCCTCCTCTGCCGACGTCTACGACCCTGCCGCACCCGCCTCTCCCGCTCACTCAGCTGCACCCCCTCCCCCCTCTCCCTCCGCCTCTCATTCTCCCCCTTTCCAGCAGCCGGCGCAGCAGCAGCAGCAGCAGCAGCCGGGGCAGGCGCAGCAGCAGCAACTGGGACAACAGCAGCAGCAGCAGGGGCAGCAGCACCTGCAGCAGCAGCAGCGACGTGCAACTTCCCGCTCCTCCCCTTTCCTCCTTCCCCGCATGCACACCCGCTCCCTGGACAGACTCATTGGAGCCCCTCCTCCCGCCTCCATTCAGCTCCTTGAGGACTCCCATGAGGAGTTCCTCAACATTCGGCAACACACACCTTTCCTTGCCTCCCTCTACCTTGACTTCCTCGGCTTTCCCGTCTTTGGCGCCACCTCCACCCCAACCATCTTCACTCCCACCACCTTCCAAGAGGCCATCACCTGCCCTGACGCGGACAAATGGATAGCGGCGATCTTCTTGGAGTGTGAGGCATTTATTCGCAACGACTCCTTTGTCGATGTCCCCCTCCCAGCCGGCGCCAATCTCGTCGAGGGCAAATGGGTCTTTCGGGTGAAGCAGCTGCCGGGCGAGGAGCCGGTCTACAAGGCACGCTACTGTGCCAAGGGTTTCACGCAGACTTGGGGCAAGGATTTCTGGTTCACTTACGCCCCCACCGCCAAACCACCCACCTTTCGCGCAGCCCTCGACATTGGCGCACGTGACAACATGGAGATATGCTCCATGGACGTCTCCAATGCGTTCCTGCAGGGCGACCTGCACGAGCGCATCTTCCTCAGACGGCCCCCTGGGTTCCATGCTGCCTTTCCAGAGAACACCGTCTGGCAGCTGCGTCGCCCTGTCTATGGCTTGAAGCAGGCGCCAAGGGAGTGGCACGCGAAGCTGTCTGCCACTCTGGGGTCCCTCGGCTTCTCTGCATCCCACTCCGATGCCAGCCTCTTCATTCGCTCCTCCCCTCGCCGCTTCTTCATTCTGGTGTATGTGGACGACATGATTCTCCTTTCTGACTCCAAGGCTGACATGGAGCAGATGAAGATGTCATTGCAGCAGCGTCTCAAATGCAAGGACCTGGGCGACCTCACGCACTACCTAGGCATGACCATCACGCGCGACCGCCCTGCTCGCACCATCACCCTCTCCCAGTCCCACTACATCGGCCAGGTCTTGGAGAAGTTCGAGATGGCGCAGGCCAAGCCCGTGTCCACACCCCTCCCTTTCGGCCACCAGCTCGCTCCGCCCACTTCTCCCTCCACCTCCCCTCACCCCTATGCCGAGCTCGTTGGGTCGCTGATGTACGCAATGATGTGCACCCGCCCCGACCTCGCCTACCCCATTAGCGTGCTCGCACGCTTTGTTGGCACCGGTCGTCACACTGAGGAACATTGGAAGGCTGCTAAGCGGGTCCTCCGCTACCTTCGTGGGACCAAGGACCATGTCCTCACCCTTGGCGGCCCCTCCCCTCCTCTCCTTTCGGGCTTCAGTGATTCCTCATGGGCTGACTCGCAGCCGGACCGCCGCTCCTCCCAGGGCTACGGTTTCACCCTTGGCAGCGGCCTTATCAGCTGGCGCTCCACCCGCTCCTCTGCCATTTCTCTCTCCACCTGCGAGGCCGAGCTCTACGCCGGCACCATGGCCGCACAGGAGTCCCGCTGGCTCTGCTTTCTTCTTGCCGAGCTTGGCGCCCCCCAGCCGTGCCCCACTCTCTGGTGTGACAACGCCAGCACCATCCACCTCACTCAAGATCCTGTCTATCACGCCCGCTCCAAGCACATCGAGCTCCGCTACTTCTTCATCCGCGAGCTCGTCCAGCAAGGCCTCATTTCTGTTCGGAAGATTGCGGCGGAGGCCAACTTGGCCGACAGGGAGGGGTAGGGAGGGGTGGGGATCAGAAGGACAGGGGGACCAGAAAAGGGGTGCTAGGGAGCCCTCTTCTGGAGAGCTTCTTGGAGAAGGAGGGGATGCCCAGGCTGGGATAAGCGGGGCCAGGAGGGGAGAGGAGAAGTGGGGAGGGGTGGGGAGCGGAGGGGTTGAGAGGGACTGGGGGAGCAGAAGAGGGGCGCGCTAGATTCCAGCAGGTTGGAGAGTTTTTCCAGAGAACGAGGGGATGCCCAGGCTGGGATGAGGAGGGGCGGGAGGGGTGGAGTGGAGGGGAGGGGAGGAAAAGAAGGGTCACAGGTGCTAGAAGAACGGCAATGGGAGAGTCCTCCTCTGCTGACTCGAGCAGGTTGGAGAGTTTCTCCGAGAACGAGGGGATGCCCAGGCTGGGATGAGGAGGGGCGGGAGGGAGGGGTGACGCGGGGTGGGGAGGGGCGGGGAAGGGAGGGGAGGGGTTGAAAAAGGGTGGGGATGAGTGGGGGGGGCCGACCGAGGAGCAGGAAGGAGTCCTCTGCTGACCAGAGCAGGTTGGCGAGCGTATCGTGAATGAGGGGATGCCCAGGCTGGGATGAGCGGGGGTGCGAGGGGTGGGGTGGGGAGGGGTGGGAAGGGGCGGGGAAGGGAGGGGAGGGATTGAAAGGGGTGGGGATGAGAGGACGGGGGGATCGACAGAGGAGCAAGGTAGAGTCCTCTGCTGACTAGAGCAGGTTGACGAGCGTGTCGGTAAATGAGCAAAGACTTAGGCTGGGATGAGGGAGGGAGGGAGGGAGGGAGGGAGGGAGGGAGGGAGGGGGGAAGACGGATCACAGGAGTGCTAGAATATGGGCAACAGGGGGAATGGCAGAGGCGCATCCCTCCTCTGCTCACTTGAACAGGTTGGAGAGCTTTTTGGTGAATGAGGGGATGCCCAGGATGGGATGATGGGGCTGGGGAGATCATGAGGTGGGGGGAGGGAACGGAGGAGGTACAGGAAGCGGGAGGGGGGGGGTGAGGGGGGCTGAGGGATGAAGTGAGTTCAAACTCACCTCTCGCGGATGTTCTTCACGGCTGCAGCATACGCCTTGGTGGCCTTGTCGTCAGCAGCGTCCATGGGGATGGAAACCTTCTTGAGACCTTCCAGATACGACCGGAAGGATGCCTGCTGCTTGATAAACGCCGCCTTCACCACATCCTCTGGTGGTGGTTTGGGTTGGAGAGGGGAGAGGAGGGGTGGGGGGAAAGCGGGAGGAACGGTACGTGGGTGGAAAGAAAGCTCCAATGCACCTTCCAGATATGACCGGAAGGACGCCTGCTGCTTGATAAACGCCGCCTTCACCACATCCTCTGGTGGTGGCTTGGGGAGGGGAGAGGGGGAGGTGGGTGCAGGGAAAGAAAGAAGGGGATGGGGGGGTTAGCAGGAGCAGGTGAGAGGGGGAAAAAAACCTTCAATGCACCTTCCAGATACGACCGGAATGACTCCTGCTGCTTGATAAACGCCGCCTTCACCGCATCCTGTGGTGGTTGGGGGGGACGTGGAGGGGGGGTAGGAGTGGGGGACGTGGGGATGGGGAACGTCGACGCGGACGATGAGAGGGGGAAAGAATGACTGACTTCTACGTGCGACACGTGATGAGGCCGGGGAGTGGGAGGGGGGGGAAGGGGGATGGGGAGTGGGAAGCGCGTACGTACCTTCAGCGGGAGCTGCAGTAGCGAATCCGCGGGCGACATTCCCCGCGAGTAGCGCGGATGCGGGCGCAGCAGGGGCGAGCCTTGCGGACACCGCCCTGCCCTGTTGCGCGGACACGAGGAAGGGGGGAAGGGAAGGGGGAGGGATGGGGGAAGGTGCAGGGGGAGGAGTGAGGGAAAGAGCAAGGAGAGGAGCGAGGGGAGGAGTGGGGGAGGATTTGAAGAAAGAGTGGAAAGGGGACGGGAGGAGAGGAGGGAGGGTAGGATGGGGGTAAGGAGGGAGGCGTGGGGGGAAGGGAGGGGGTATGTCGTGGCTTTTGAGTCGACTCGAATGTCGTGGTGGGAAGCACGCTGAGGATCGAAGGATCGGGACGAGGATCGGAAGATCTCGAGTCTTGTTCTCCGGCAGTTAGCTTCCCCGGAAACTCGGCTGACAGCTGACGACACAAATCTACCCCACTCAGCTCTAACCCTACAGACCGATTTTCGATGCGCCTCTAAATTCGGCTCACACACGCAGCTAGGTTCATCGGAGACTTGGCTGACAGCTTAGCGTGCATTGTCCTACAGACAGCCTACACTACAAGCATAACCACCCGTTCGTAACCCCACAGATCGCATCCGAGCAGAGCAGAGGATCACGGCAGCAACGCGGCACGAAAGGTTAACCTAAATGAGGCCTAGTTTCGCGACGTCTCAGCACTCGGTCGCATGCGAACAAAGCACCATCTAGGAGTATTGAGCCGACTCGAAGCGTCGAGGCGCGACAAACTGCACACGAGGCATCTCAAACTCGATCCCGGTCGAATCTAAGCGCGCCAACGCACCACGCGCACTGTAATCTACACGACAATGAATCATTTCCTGTAAGGCGACAATATGTCTCTTTGGTTCGCTGCGAGCGACGTACGGCGAGCGCGATGAGGCGGGAGCTGGAGCGAGCAGCCATGGGTGACGATTCGATACAAGAGCGACCGGCGGGACGGAAGTAGAGCGCGAATACACGGCGAGCGGAAGCGGAGCGGAACGGCGAGAGTGGAAAGCGGGGGATCCGGCGGAACGGACGACAGGGAGCGTGCGATCGGGAAGGCGACTCGCGAGGACAGAGGTCTGGTCGCAGTAAGAGGTGTGGGATGGTGATGGTACAGGTGGGTCTACGTATGTGCGTTTCTCCAATAAGAGAAGGAGGAACTGAGGAAGTAGGGGAAAGAAAAAGGGGAAAATATGCCATTCGTAACCATCATAGGACTCAAAAACATTTATTTTTAAACAATGAAGGGTACGGTCACTGCAAAGGGTGTTTTCACGCGACTGATAAAGCGTTTCACGGAATCAGTCACAATCAACTGGTAAAAAAAAACGCGAATGGTCACAGATGAAACTCCCGCCAAAACAAAATGAAACCCAAAAAGAACCTGGATGCGTTTTCGGAAGGTCAACCCTAAACACGTAACTCGCCAGGTGTTTAGGGTTGATCCGTTTTCAAACCGCATCCGATTCCGATTGGGTTTTTGTTTTTTTACAAGTTCGCATATTGGTTCGGCGCGAGCGGGAATTTTGTTGAGTTTCAAGTTTTTTTGGCGGGAGTTTCATGTGTGACCATTCGCGTGATTTCTTACCTGTTGTTAGTGACTGAATCCGTGACCCCGCTTACCGAATACACCGTACGCGTTTTTTTTTCACCATTCACGTTATCGAGTCCCGAGTTGGTTACCTGTGGCATATTCTCCCAAGAAAAAGGAGCACTAACACAGTGTTTTTTGTGCAGTGTATTAGTTGCATCTACAATGCATCTAATTCTCAATTATGCTTGTAATAATGATACAGTTATATCATAACAAGCAAAAACACAAGCAAACAAGCAAGAAAAATAGTCCAGCCATCATGTTAGTAAGGCATTAAAAATTCAGTAACCAGTTAGAGAAGTCAACCTTGTCAACGACTGAAAAGGGGTTAAAGCCTCAGTTCCAGATCCAGATCTGTTACTTCTCGGAACCCATGTCCGCCCCCATTCAGCTGGTGCCCTCCATTGTTCTGTGCATCTTGACGGTATGCATTCGCAACACCTGAATCTCCAGCCCATGCTCCTGCTGATCCTGCTATTGCTGCTGTTGCTGCAGTTGCTGCTGTGGGAGGTGTTGCTGGTTCAGGAATTTGCAGCTGCATCATCAAACCACGCGCAAGCGTCTTCATCTGCAGCTCTGCTCCTGCGTTGATTTCTCCTTGACCAAGCAGGGCCTGTGCGGCCTGCAGCTGGGATAGCAGCTGAGCCTGAGCCTGTGTCTGCCCTTGCCCCACCATCTGCTCTATCCTGCTCACAATAGCGGATACAAGAGCACTGCGCAGCGCATGCTCCCCGGATAGTCCACACATGCCCTGTGATGCACCTGATGCTGCTGCTGATGACTCCGCGCCCGCAGCAGGAATAAAGGACTGAAGCCTATACGACGGAGTGGAGGACTGGAGGTGGGATGAGCTGTATGAAATGCCAGGAGCAGGGGAACGGGCGGGAAACGCAGCAGCTGAAGCAACCTGGAGAGGAGGGGGGAGTGGAGGAGGAGAGGGAGCAAGGGAATGGGCAGAAGGGGTGCGGAAAGGGGGAGCGGCATAGGGAACAGGGCTTATGTGAGACGGGTGTGGGGAGATGGTTCTGGAGGTGGGGGTGGGCGCGCCGGGAAGAGACCGGAGGACGGTTTGGGAGGAGGCTTGGGCAGTCGAAATGTTGGGAGCACGAATATATTGAGTTTCTATAAGCTGCTGATGATTTGGATTCTGCTGCTGCAGCAGCTGTGGCGGCGGCGGCGGCGCCTGCTGCTGCTGCTGCTGCTGTTGCTGCTGCTGCTGCCGGAATTGCAGCTGTAGCATCTCTTGTATTTGTTCCAGAAGTGACAGGTGTTGTATCTGCTTCTGCTGATCTTGCTGATAGTCTTCCCTGCGCTCGTCTGGCTGCTTCCCTTCCTGGTACTGCCTCACCCCCTGCTGCTTCTGCAACGTCTGCTGCATCATTAGCTGCTGATTCGCTATAAGACTAAGCAGATCTCCGCTCGACCCCATAGCAGAACCGGAACTCTGGGAAAATTGCGCCAGACTTTTCTTCTCTCCCCTCTCCAACGACTCTCGGGAAGCTTGGCACTTAGCTAAGTGCTGGGTTGCCTCTAATGCTGACATCTCCGTTCTCTTCCTCTTCTGCCTCCCCTCACGAAGAAGCTCAGAAATAGAGACATCCTCAGGATCGGATCGGTTTCTGCCAATCTCTTCTTCGTGAAGCGCCAAAGCTTCAGCCGAACCTAGAGTGGAGGCTCGGGCCTCCCCTCCTGCCGAACCTGGAACTGACTCTGTCCTTTTCCCTGTCATCCTGCCCCTTCGCGGCGACTTCCCCTTCCTTTCCGAGGTGATCTTCCCACCGCCCTTCTCTCTTCTCCTGACAATCCCAGCTTGCATATTTTCCGCCCTCGCGCCGTTCTCGCCCCTAACATCTTTCACTTCCCCTTCCGCGTTGCTCCTCTCAAGCGCGCCAGGCGAGTGCGCGCCTTCCGCCGGGCCGTCTGCCGCCGTCGCGTCTGCCGTGAGAGGCTGCGCGTCCGACGCAGATGCCGCCGCGACAGCCATCGCAATTATTTTCGACCGCTTAGACTTATAACCTCTTGCTACAGGGGACGTAACCGAGGGCTTAGCCCCCGCCGTCGCGTCTCCATCGCGCACTCCAGCCTGGTCTTGAACAGTCCAGCTTCCATCCGCTATTGCCGAGCCTAAGCGTTTGCTTCTGATCGAACCTGCACGCTCGGACATATCTGCCGCCGCAGGGTGTTCAAATGTCTCCGCCCTCAACCGTTTGATTCGATATGAGCCGCCCTGTGGACTCGCATACAGCCGATCCGTACTGCCAAATACTGGCTCCCTTATTCTTCCCGCAACTGCCGCCGCCGCACCTTTCCCCTTGCGAACGGACCTGCTGCCTCGTGGCAAACCAGCGGCGTCGCCCAGCGAAAAATCGTTCACGACCTGAGAACCATGCAGACGTGTGCCGTGAGTGAAGTGGTCGTGGTCGTTGAACGAGTTCAGCGACGGAAAGCGTTTATCGCAAACGCCGCAGACGTAGGGACCGCCACCCGTCGGTTTCACTTTAACGGAGCTCGCTACAGTCGGACTCAATAGTAACAGCAGATCTGCGGGTGTCAGGTTTCCCCACTTCACCTTGAACTGCGGGCTCCCAACGCCGCCGTCAATCGCGCTTTTCGCTTTCACATCCGCCTTCGGACTGCCGTCAGTGGGACTTTCTCCGCCAACAGTCTTTCCGTCAACGCTTTTCCTCGAGATTAACGTCTTCATAGCAACGTTCGAGGTGTCTTGACGTGGCGCTTTCCACGGAGATTTCTGTGAAACGTCAACGTCGACGTTGACTTCCGCGTCGCCGTCTGCTGGACTGCCATGTCGAACGTCTGCTGACGGCGGCTGAACAGACGGTTTAGACGGACTGCTGACTGCTGCTTCCCCGGACACCGTTGCGGCGGCAGAGATATCGTATGGTCGTTGGCCGGCAGATTCGGGTCGCTGCTTACTCTCCTCGGGTTCTGCATGAAGCGCCGCATGCGGCGCCGCGTGAAGCGGCAATTCTTGGCTCGACGCTCGCACCAGCGCTTCGAACGCATCCATCCGTTCGGGTGACGTCATCAGGTAACTTGGCCCCGACGCGTCGCCTAATAACTGATCGGGAGGGTGACAAAAAGACGGCGACGCGGACCCGGTACCGTGCAGGAAAACGCCGGTGTCAGTCGATGCTAAAACAGAGCGGCTCGCGCTGATTGCTTGCGGTAACGGCTTGATCGCTGAATGCTCGGAAACGATAGTAGTAGTGGTCTTGTCGACGTCGGGAGACGATGAGACTTGAGGTTCAATCACACGCTCGCTGCTGCCTGCTGAATGCTCAGAACTGAGACCGCTGCGGCTAGTAACACGGCTGCTGAGTAGCTCTTCAGAACGTGACTCTGAACGTGATGGGGATCGGGAACGGCGAGAATCAAGATTCGTGTTTATCCGAGTTCTTGAAGGGTCAAGAGCTGGTCCAATCGTACGCGCCGAGATATCTTCCGACGAGGGTTTGGGAAAATCTTGGAGGCGCGGCGGAAAGGTAGCGGCAAGCGGACACATATCGATGGCAGAGCATGCGCTCGGCCCGGTGGAACGAGTAAGCCTTACCACGTCCTACGGCCGCACGATATGCAACGAGCGGATGAGATTGGAAGCGAGCGGATGGGATTGGAAGCGAGCGGATGGGGTTTGGGAGCAAGAAGGCGAGAATCTCGGAGTGCAATAAGGTGTGAAAAGAGAGTTTACGTGTTCTCCCCGTCTTATCCACAACGAGGATCCCGTCGAGGTTTTGGAGTCCTCGGGGTTGCTGAGTCACTTTACAAGAACCTGGCTTTAGAACGTTTGGCGGAGTCTCCAAGAGAAGGCAGCGACAGAAAAACTATTACTCTGGGTTCGTGAAGTCGCCTATGCCTCCAACATGGCGGGGTTTGAGCGATCGAGTGCGTAACGCTTCGCGAACGTGACAGCGACGGTTTTGCCTTTCTTCAGCCTCCCCGAAGTTGCATGCATGCAGAAACACGAGGCGAACGAAAGGGTGGACGATAATTGGTGCTCGGCTGATCTGGGGACGTCACTCTGGATTTCACAGAATGTAATCCTCGAGGAAACTAACTCTGCGATGAGATCGAGGATTTTCCTTCACCTGAGCTTCTCGAGACAGCCGACGTGACAAGAGCACCATGAGCAACTTGGGCGGCGAACGACCGATTGACGTGACGTGTGGGAATAAAAAGACGAAGCGAGCAGCAGTGGCTCTCTTTCTCTATGCGCGGACCAGTCCTAGGAACGTGTGACCATGGCAGGAGGGTGGACATGGGCTGGACAGTTGTCGAAAGAGCTGGCGAGGCGACTGCACCGTCTCACTTCCGAGATGCCAACAGATTTTTCCATTGAACGTGGCGGGGGCTGTTGAGCCGAGGTGGTTGCGTTGGATTGCATTTGCGGCGCCTCGCGCTGACCTCAATGCTTCAGGGGTTGAAGGGGGATGACAATTCAGCAGGAAGGTTGGGTGTCTGAAGGGGGATGACAATTCTAGGAGTTTCCTACGGTGACAGGGGGAAGCCCTCAGAACGTTCCCTTAGGGCGTGTCCAGCGCGTACATTTTGGGAATATTAGTACCTTCACACGTTTCCCGGCTCAAAAAATCTCACTGTACCAAAAAACGAATATAAGGTGAGTCGAGTCCGAAGGATTGGGCCTTCCAGCGCGCGGACACAACCCTCTGCACACAAATTTCTACAGTTCGTGGAAAACGAGGTAACTGGTTGCCTCGTCTATCATCGCACAGAAATTCACGCACAAGCGAAAATTCCACGCTTGAACGAAAATTACTGTAGCGGGCAGGACGCAATGCTGTACCCTTGTTCGCGCGCACACTGATTCCAGTAACGTGTGTTAGACGATTCGTCGTACGCGCAGCGGGCGTGCCGTCTTGTGAACGGAAGCTGATCGTGTCCAACCTTTTTGTAAAATGCAGTGTTACAATGGGAAATGTGGTAACTGAATGGGTTTATGAACTGTAAATGTACGCGCTGGACACGCCCTTAGACATGGGGGAGTGAAAGCTTGATCATGAAGAGAGCTTTGAATTCAGCTTTGTGGTGGGCGAGGAGACGTTGGGCGGGTCAGTTGAATGAAACGGGCTTTCCCGACTTTCGTTCACTGCTGCATGGATGTCTTTTCTGTGGTGCCAAAGAAAACCTTGGCATGGAGAGCTGTCAGAAAATGTGCACGCTGCGTGTATGCTGGCTTGACAACAATTGATTCGTCCTCCACTCCTTCCGTCCTCCCCTTCCCCGTACAATTCAATTGAATTTGCTCTTTTGCGTCTGACGAAGCCGTCGTCGATGTGTCGTGCGAATCCCCAGCGTTTATCTAAACCTGAGAGGAACGGTTACACTTAGCGGCGACCCCTCTTGTGGTTCAGCCACAAGCAGTCCTATTTTTGGGACCAATCAACTAAAATCCACTTGTCTCCCACACTTTCTTGTGCACAACGTGACAAAATGACGTACATGAATGTCATGGGTTGCAGAAGGGACAGAAGCGACACATACAGTCAATCGCGTTGACACTGGAAGGGCTCGCAGAGTGGCCCACACGCGCTCAATGCACTCTTACAGAAAAACATATATGAACATGCAAAACACCACAGATAGGTGGACTTATACCAATTAAACGCAAAATGCAAATGATCCACATTCGGTCTTGACTGTCACCAACAAAACTTGCAGTAGCTAAAAATGACACCCCCACACAGATCAACATAATATTCAACAATTTTTATATGCACTTTGTAGGCTAGGTGGAGTTGTTCGATAAAATGTAGGCTTCGTTAGCCAACATGGGCCATTCTTTTAGTCGCTGAGATGGTATCATATTTGGTAAGGTTTTTCGCCTCCGCCCCCCAACCTCCCTAGCGACCCTCGTGCCCTCACTGCCCCCTCGTGTGTCCCCACTAGCGTCTAGCGCCCCCCACCCCCCCCCCCCTCCTCCCTCTCCTCCTCTGACGTCTTCATACCCTCTAGCGGCCCTACTAGCTCCTCGTTGCGGCTTTCTCTATGCCAAGTCGCAACCCTCTCTGCCGCAACCCCTCGTGTCCTGATGCCACCCTGCCGCGTGCCTACCGTTGCGTCCTACTCCCCCCCGCGCCGCTGCTCCGTCCGCGCAACTGCTGCCCCCGCCTGCCGCGCCACTACGCGCTTGTACCATCTACAGTGCAACCCAGCCAAAAAAAATACATGCAAACGTATAAACGTATGTTGGCACACCCTTTCTGTTATGTAATGGGCAGCCCCTTAAAAAAGAAGAAACAGCTCAGGCGGCACTACCAGCCAGCCGCTAAGCCAAGAGACTACAAGGCCATACAGTATAAACAAGACAATATGTGAGGTACTACTTAGCCCAATACTACTAGCCTAGCTTCTTATACGAAATGTCGCAAGACCAGTCAAAAAGTAAAACGAGATAGAACCACTGAGCCAAATATCTTGAAACGTAAGGTCATGCTGGGACAATACCAAGCTGTGTGCAGAGCCGGTGATGATTACAAGACGAGAGCGCTTAAACGAAGATATAAGTGGTGTTGGCCTCTAGGCCAAAAGTACTACGTGTGCCTAGCCATGCTGCTACATCTCACGAAGCAAGAAGTACTGCAGTTAGATGTGCTTCGCCCTGCCCTCAAGCTCATAACAAAATATTATCATTGTCATGTTATCAGTGAAGAAGACCGGGCATAGCTACCGTATTTACCGGCCTAATAGACACGGGGGTCTAATCCTACATTGGGAAAAAATGAGGGGGGGGTCTATTAACTGGGGGGGGGGTTTAATAGACTCGGGGTCTAATCCTATGTCTATATTTGACTTTTATACATGTTGAACACGCGTGTTTGAACATCAAAGAACGCGATTTGAATATCGCGTCTGGAGAATCGTGACCATACGCTGACGCAAAGAGCACGTGGACACTTGCTCGAGTCATATCACTGTTTGCGCTACCCTCAGGTAGTGTGTCTCGCT